AATTTGTTTGTGAGTTACCATTAAATAATATAACATATTCTTCGCCAGCTTCAACAATAAACCAATATATACTTGATGATGTATCAACTAGTGATTTTACTATCGTTATTGATAACGATTATGATGTTACTATTTCAACATCTGCGTCAAACGAATCATCAAAAAATAAATCATTTCATGTTCATTCAAAAGTTTTGACTGATAATTCTGAATACTTTAAAGCATTGATTAATTCATCAATGATCGAATCACAGAGTCGTACACTTTTATTAAAAGATACTTCTTATCAAACAATGAAACCTATTCTTGAATTTTTATATACAGGCGAACTATCGTCAATTAATAATAATGGTGATGATATTAATGAAGAAAATAATGGTAAAGATGGTGATAGTGGTAAATATGAAGAAGAACAATGGATTGATTTATTATATGCGGCAACAAGATTTTTAATTAAGCCATTGATTCAACGATGTGAAAAGGAACTTGGCAATTTTGTTACCATGGAAAACGTTGACGAATTTGAACTTCTTGCTAACGAATGTGGTTCAGATCAATTATTAACTTATTGTAAATTACTTTTTCTTAAATCACCAGACGATGTTTATCTTAATGATAAGCTTTCTTTTGAAACTAGTTATTATTTTTCTAATAATCATTGTTATGATAGTTATGACGATGACAATAAGTGTGACGATGATTATTATTCTGATGAGCACTTTATATATTGAAGTTTTATATAGCGAATTGTACATTAGAAAATTTCCCATTTCACGTTATATATGACAAAAATTTCAGTGACAAGTACCTTTTATTTATTTTTTGATTCATATCAGTGACATTTCATTGTTTCGTATATGTAAAAAGCGATTCTATAGGTGGATAAAAATCAGTATCCACTTATAAAAGCGTTTTACTCGATAAAATAGGTTTTCAATGATAGAATCAACGGGTATAAAAGAACTTCAAAACAACTTTTTGATTTTTCCCTTCAATAAATATTGATAAGATCAAGTCGTCAAATCACAATTAGTTCCTTTATTCAATCTGAATTTCAAACATTGATTATTAGACTTCCAAACTCCATTCATCAAACAGTCACAGATGGACCAAACAAACGATAGTGGAAATTTGACATCTAATCCCCCAATCAGACTACTTTAACAAGAGGTAACTGACCCCATGAAGAACCTTCCAAGAACCTAGAGCATAGTACTACTAATCTTGCTGTCGGTCAAAACAATAAGAATTGTAATTTATTTATAGAAAGCAAAGAATTCCACAGAGCAAAAGAAAAATTCGAATAGAGAATTTCAAGCACAAAAGATGGGATTCTCCAATAGTTGGTTGGAAATAAAGTAATAGTAATACACTTAATAAAAGAAGTCAGTAAAAGAAATCTGCTATGCAGAATCATGACTATTACTATGAACCAGAAATTGCAAACGGTTGACGATTGCAGGGTGTTGGATAGAAAAGAAACTGTGGAAAAAGCAAAGTAGCGGCTGTGTGAAAGGCCTTTTCCAAAGAGTCGTTACAGAGAGCTTTGGATGCTTTAAAGATTTGGTAGAAGGGAGGTTTCTTGGTGGATAAGGAGAAATTAATTTCAGTACTTTTTATTTCCTGAAAAAAAAAATCCACAATTATAATGCTAATTACTCAAATTTGGAAAAAGCAGCTCCGTGCTAATAATAAAACTTTGTAGGCTTGATTCTATATTCTAGTTGCAGCAAGAAAAGATGAAGATAAGCAAACAGCATTTCAAACGTAAGATCACAATAACTCCTAGAATATAATAAATTAATAATAATAGTAATAGTAATGGCGGCAATCAAAGAGATATTGATGATTTTTTAATATTTAATATATATTAATATTTTTTAAAAAGGGAATGCCCCCATTATTATTATCAATGTATGAAAATATTCTGTATGCTAATAATAATTATTTATTTATTTTTTATTTATTCCTCCATCGCCATTGTTGTATCTTCTTCTTCTCTAGCCATATACTCGACCATCAGCCACCTTGCTTCTTTTGCAACACCTGTAACTAATGTTCTTACAATAATTTTATTAATCAACTCTTGATCTGATTCACCTTTACCTTTATCACCACCAATAATATTGGCTCGATTATTACTAAAAGTTAATTCAAATAATATTCTAATTATTTGTTTATACATTTTTATGTAGTCATCATCTAATACATATAATAAATCTAAATTGTCAGTTGAAGAAGGATAATAGTTATGTTGTATAATTATTGGTGATGATAATGATGATGACGCTAATATGATATTGTGATTGTGATGAGGATGGGAATCTTTTGAATTTAAAATTATTTCTATTTTTTCAAGATATCCGAGTATTAAAGAAATTTGAAATGATGAAAGAATAGTTTTTGTAGTAGAAATAAGTGAAAGGTAGTGAAGATTAAATAAAATTGCATTCAAAATATTTAATGACCATAAAAGTGTTTCTTTCTTTATAGCATTTAAATCTATGAGTTTTTGAAAAAAAAAATTTTGTTAAACTGTTTCTTTTATATAATTTTATTAAAAAATATTTCAACGCAAACCTAATGATTTTAGTAGTCCTGTTAAGATAAAAATAACTTGATTGACCAATACTCCATTTGATTTTTGTAAAATTGAATTCTTACAGCCTTGTAAAACTCTTAATAATATTCTTAAACCAAATATTGATGATGAATTTTTTCCCATAGTTAAAGAAGAAACACATAAATTGTGAATCCATGTTATTAAACACTTATTTTTAACCATATCTGTGATAACTTGTGATATTGATGATGCTTGAAACAAAATCTAAAGAAATATTTATAATATGTTTATATTTGAAATAATATTAAAAGTGAAAAATTTTTTTTTTAACTATTACCTCTATAATAATTTTCTTTGTAATATTATCAGTTAATGATGAATTATAATATCCTGATATAATATCCCATGCATGTCTTCTTTTGAAAATCTTGTAATCTTCATTGGTTTTTAAACCTGCAGATAAGAGTCTCAATAACCAAACTCTTTCTTTTTGATAATTGTCTGAACTAGAATAAAATAAATTATAAAACATTGGAATATCCTAAAAAACATACCATATATTAAAAATAGTTATATTTATAGTAAATAAATAAATATACAATATACAAACACACATATATATATATACACAAATACCTCCAAGTCTAAAAATGGTCTTTGTAATAAAAATTTATTAATTGTTGGATACATGAAATGACCTGGGTTTGTAAATATATTTAATGCATGTGCAACAAATATAGTAATGATACTTGGTATTTGCTGAAACATCCTCTTCCTTTTTCCTTTATCATCATCATCATCGTCGTCGTCGTCGTCGTCGTCGTCATCATCATCATCAACAACTATAGAATTTTTTAAAGAATTCAACAGTAACAATATTTGACTTTTTTCTCGAAAGCCCGTATGTTCCAACAATAAATAGACTTCATCCATCAAATAATATCCTACTTTTCTAATATTTTCATTATTAGAAGAAAGTGAAACTACTATAAACCCCAAAGCATTGATTTCTAAAAGTTTTCTAAAGTCTAATAGATTCCCATATGAAGATATTAAATTTGCAAATAATGGCAAGAAAAATGATGGATCATATGTTGGAGCCAATTTCGGGTTTTGGATTTTAATAATATTTCTATTGCTATTATTAGCTGTGCCCCCTACATATTTTCTTCCCGTAACTTCTTTTAATTCATTTTCAATCACTGTCATTAATTCTTCCTTTTCAAACGTTATGGACAGATCCTTATCAATTGGAAAATGCGTATAACTATAGATCATTATTTTAGGATCAATCAGTCCTAATGTTTCAACGAGAACTCTTTGTCCCATCAATTTCTGTCTACTCATTTGTCTATTAGATCCAGGTCCCCAATACATAGCACTAGATACAATTGATAATTTAGTGATTTTCTCATATAAAATATAAATATCAAGCAACAATTGATCTACCAAGGATGTGGTCGCTCCATAGTATGTGAAAAGTAAATCCAGATAATCAGGCTTGCAGCAATTTTTTGGATCAATATGAAAAATCTTGTTTATTAAATAAAATATTGAAAGTCTCACTGCTTCATCGTCATGATAATTATCATCTTCTGGTAGTGGTGTTGTTGTAAAATGTTTAAATTTTGGATTATTAAATATAGCTTCAAGAATTTTATCCAATGGTGGACCTAAAACATTTGATTCTTTGCGATACTCACAAACTATCAAATTTCTCACACAATTCAAAATCACAAAATCCTCAAATCTCTTCTCTAACAATACAAAAATAAATTCGCCAATAATATTTGCATCTAGATTTTTAACCTTTGGAATAATTAGTTTGATCAATGATTCTATTTTAGTAAATATCCCTCCAACTAATATTCCTTGTTCATCGCCATCATATTCTTTATATTTATCTTTTTCTAGAAATAATGTTGCATGATGTAAACAATCCATAATAAATTTTCTGAGTTGATTGATTGTGAAATTGTCAATGTTACCATCACAGTTTAAATAATATTCGATAATAGTTAATTGATTTAAATTGAATTCAATCGTAGAATAATTATCAATAATTTGATTTAGAGTTTTGATTAATTCGTTATCAGGACTCAACGACAATAAGCTATTAATAATATTGACATAATGTAATGAATTTTTTGAATTCAATGAAATTTCACCACTATTGCTACTACTTGTTAACTTTTTAAAGAATATCAAAGAATATTGTTTTGATAATATTTTTATAGCTTTTTTATCGTGATCAGTTGCAAGATTTGACCAAGTGATTGTTGTTGAGCTTGTAGTGGAAGACACAATTTCTAAAACATATGTAAGCAATAAAGACACATCTACTAAAGATAATTTGTTCAATAAATTATTATTATTATGATTATTATTTAAAATTTGCTTAACAAATTCTAAACGAAATTCTGCTTTTCTCATGATAAGATATGACAGGATTTTTGTTCTTGTTGTTGTATTCAAATCTGAAAGAATGTATTTTACAACCTCAATATCTATTTGCTTTGGCAATTCACCAATCAACCTTTTATAATTATTATTTTTTTGTAGTAAATTCAGATGTTCCAAACTTGATGACGATGATGGTGTTAGTCCAGGTGGCATATAACTTTCTACTATTTGTAAAAATATTAAATCAAGTTCTGAAGAGTGAGAAGAGGAGAAGGAAGATGGATAATTCTTCCACATAAAAATCAACTTTTGATATAAATTATCGGATAGTTTTATAATGGAAGCAGTGGATTGATGGTGATTATACAATTTATTAAAGACAATCAAAAGAATTCTATAATATCTATTAAGATATCCGCTATTTGAAATAAAAGAAATTGTTGATCGATCTATGTTCAAGATATTTTCTAACAGGTCAACTAATTCACCTTTTTCCCAGAATTCTGAAAACTTATCAATTAAATAAATAAATTTGTCATCTGATAATAATTTTGTAAAGTACTTTTTTTTTGATTGATTGTTTTTTTTAGTTGCAAAGGAAACAAGATTCAATAATTTAATCTTGAATTTTGATAAATCGTTTGATCGGTTTATATCATATTTTTTATGTTTAATGATATTTTTTTTATCAGTAAAATATTCAACAAGATCTGCCACAACTATAAATAGAATTTATCAGTAAATTTTATCAAAAAAATATAAATATTAAGGATAAACATTCGTACACTCATCCAAAGCATCCAATAATTTAATGAGAACTTGATTTTCTTTTAGATTTTCGACTTCTCTCAGTAAGAAAAGCTCATCGAAGACAGGCCATCCAACTATCAAATTTAAGGAATCTTTCAATACGTTAGAACATCTATCATCATCACCTTCTTCTCTAATATCACTATTTTTCTGATCTAAACCTTCTGTTGATCTGACCAAAATCACTTTTAGTAATTTAAAACATAAATGCAACTCAACACATTGATTATTACTATTTCTATCATCATCATCATCGTCGTCGTCGTCGCCATAGTGTCTACTGAGAATACATCCAATTAAAAGTAAAATTTGGCGTGTAGCATTAAATAATTCAATTAACGGGGTTGATTGCAATGATTTGATTAGAATATGAGAGACTGATGGTTTTTTCAATTTGTGGATTGAATTTGATAATAATATTGAGAATGGAGTTGATTTCAACATTGGAGATAAAAATTCCTGATCATCACTAATTATTTATAATTTAATAATAATAAAAATAATTAACCATTTTTTAAAAAAAAAAATTTCCAAACATAACAAAGACAAACCTGATAGAATCCAAATTCTCGACAGTATTATCAAGGATTTTTTTATCAATAACATCTAACAAACTAACAATATCTTTATAATCAAAAAAGCTTTCTGATCCGTTCCCTTTCAACTTTTTTACATAGAAATAAAGATAACCTGGTAAAGGTTGTTTCCATAAAAGACTTTTGAATAAATTGTGTAGGAAATGAGTAATAGGCAACAAATGGTTGTCATCCTTTAGATCCTCATATTCTTTTACAAGAACAATAAACAATGGACTAAATGGATAAAAATAGCAAGGTATTTTTTTGGAAATAAGAGCTGAAAAAATCTTCCTAGAAACTATGTCATTTATATTATTATTGTTGTTGTTGTTGTTGTTGTTGTTAAGCGTGTTATCAATATTCATCACATTATCACCATTTTGTAGATATCTATCTTTCAATTCATTAGAAAGTTGACTGATTTCATCAATATACGGAAACGGATCTTTCAAATACTTTATTATACAGTTATCAAGAAATTGTAGTACGATTTGTTTAGTTTTAAACATGTCATTATAATCACCTTTAGAAGTAGATCCTGTATTTATTGTTAACATCTGAAGACTTTTGAGCCAAAAAGAGATTTCAGTTGGATCATGTTTAAATAAGATCGACTTTTCCAAAAAATAGTCAATTACACGTTTTGCAGCTAAAGAAACTCCAGAATATGGGGTAGTGATAAACAAATCTATAATGGTTGTCAGATGACTAAATGACAACAATGATGAATTATTCTTATAATCCATTGGTACCTTATTCAGCCAATTAAAGTCAGGAACGAGCAACAACAATTCCAAGAAATGGATTTGAAAAATTAATGGAGCTTCCACCAAATTTCCTGGAATTAATTTGCCCAAATCAAATTTTGACTCAATAACTGCTTCCGGTAAATACTGATGATAATATTTAATTAGTCTCAAAATAATTTCTTGCATCAATTCATTTCTTATTTTTGCACCATCATCCTCATCCTCATCTTCTTCATCTTCACTTGGAATATTATCAAGAGTCATGCTTGAATTATTAACATTATTATCAGTAGCAGAAGTCCTATTATACATTCTTAATAATATTTGAATATCAGGCATTCTACATTTTAATTCTTCAAATAAACAATTAATTGTTTCTTTCCATTTTTCTGATATTAATAATGGTGGTGATGATAATGCAAGCGTTTTATCAGATTCTAATTCCTCGATTATTTTTCTAAATGATTTTATAACATTACCAAATTTTTGTAAAGCTGAACATAACAAAACTAATATTTTATATTTGACCAAGTTACTGTTATGATTTAAGCATTTGTTCAAAATGACACGATCAAGCATTTGCGGAAGAATGTTTTGCATTATAGTTGAAATCTCAGGAGTAATATTAGGATACTGGGTAGTTCCTGGAATGTAAAAAGCTGGAACAGGCAAAGCAATAATTTTTTGTAGTAATGTGATATTTGCAAGCCATTTGTATGAAAGAGAAGGTTCTAATAAAAGAGTTGCAGATTGTAGAAATCTTTGAGAAAATTTTTGAAAAATATAAAGAACTGATATTAATGTTAATGTTATATTATAATTTATATAAATGTAAATAAAAAAACACTAACATTGGAATTAATTCAGGGCAAGTTTCTAAAATTTTCAGCAATAATTCTTGTTGTTTCAAGTGTTGAGTTGGTTTCAAAGATTTGATGAAGTAAGATAATAATCTATTGTGTACTCGAGTAATGGTGTTGTTGTTGTTATTATTGTTGGTAACAGTATCTTTGTTCAATTGATTTTTCAGATCAAAAGAATCATTATTATCTACTTCACCATAAGGATACCATCCTTCATCTTGAAAACAAATACCAACACCTGGTGTACAACAGATTGATAATAGAAATTTGTGTACTAGGTCTGTAATAAATTTATTTGATTCTGGTAAATCTGTTTCAGATCTAGAATAAAGATTTAAAAGCTATTATTGTTTAATTTTTAAATTTTTTCAGATTTAATGATGATGATGATGATGATGATGAGATTTAATACTTGGTTTAATAATCCTCTATTGAAAAATGCGAGTTTTGATTTTATACCAATTTTATTATCTAAAATTATATAATTATAAAAAGTTTGAAAAATTTCTTCTACAAACTGAAAGTAGAATAAGGAAAAGAAATTAATTATAATTTCTAGAATTTATAATATTTATTTAGAAATAAAAAAATCATACCTCATAATTATCTTGAGATAAGCCTTTAAATATTAAATTTGCAAAATTCTTAGTTTCTAAAATATTTGATTTAATTTTTGCATCACCGTGAATGAAAAATGACAAGACAAATCGAATATATAATATACGAATATCTTTAAAAAATATATATATATTATTATAATTTTTCTTTCAAGAGTTTGAAAATTATTTATCATGAATTGAAAAATCGACTGTTAAACTGACCATCTTGTTGCATCTGTCGTGAAATATTTTGGGAATCTTTTCTTCTAATATTTACTAATTTTGAAAATACCTTTACAAACAAAAAAAAGAGTTTATATCAAGTATTTAACCTTCCCCCCAAAATAATATTTATTATTATTACCTTTAAGTTAAAATGGAATGTTTCTTGTAATTCTCTTGTGGTTGAAATATCGTGTGAGTTCATCATTATCAATAGTCTCAATGTTGATTGACATAATGGTAATCGATCAGAACTTAAATTTCGATCAATTGTTTTCATATAATTCCTGATAATTCTACGAATTATAATGGTTCCGATAGATTTTAATGAAGGATTCTTTGTTGTATGTTGAATAATATTTGCAAAGGAATTTGGTATTGTCACTTCAAGTTTTGTCAAATTATTATTATTCTATATTACAATTAATATTCACTTGGTAATTATTTTTTGCATTATTGTTTAGAATTCAAGAACTAAATAATGAATGATGAATTACTTACAGATCTTTGAGAATCCCAAATTTTAAATAATTCTGAGCAATCGTTTGGATTTTGTATGAATTCATTAAGATCTAATATTTTTTCTTGTGACATTAATTATTATTCTTGTTATAAAATTTAAAAAATTTTGATCTAATCTTAGTGGTACAAAGCGATTAATATAATTATTCGCGTCCGCGAGACATCAATTACTAACTATTTTCTTGCGTCTGTAATAAATAGAAACTATAGCATCCTTGTAAGTTCATCATGTATTACAATTTAAAAATTTAAATTGTCGGTAGATGTTAACACGAATACTTTTCTTGCCAGATTTCTGGGAGCAAACCCTTCCAATTATGGAGAAGCGTTGCAGAATAGAACCTTTATTGTATCAACTCGAAAAATATTACACGAAACACTTTTAACAAAACTCAAAATACTTGTTGAAACCTGAGCAACGGCAATAACAAGAATTAAAAATCTTTTTTTTTGTTTAATAAACATTTTTATTAAAAGGTCTGGCATTGGCAACTCATGCTACGCACCCAACAAATTGTTGGTTATACTGTGGAAGAAGAGCATCATGGTGAAGATTGCCATCAATACATAATGTGTAATATTGTCTTTATTTTTTGAGATAAGTATTCAATATTTCTTTTTTTAGGGTTCAAAATTATTCAGTCACTTTTAAATTATGATTTAAAAGAAGCTAGTGATGTTAGCCGGCTAAGATTTTTCTATTGGCTAGCATCATTAAAAGAAGCTAAAAAAAATATCGGAAAGCATTGGAAGATCTTAGTCATCTTTGATTTTAAAGGAAAAGGCTAGAAAATTTTACATAATAGGAAAAGCAAGCTTGCCTTTAAATTTTTGTAACATTACCATGCAATTTTTAATATATTAATAAAGGCTTCTAGCGATTTCAAAAAAAAAAGAATTCATCTCATTAACTAACAATTTACCATGTGATATGCACTTAAATAATGGATAGTTAAAAAAATATTATCATATTAAAGAAACTTTATTAATTGTTTAATGATAATAAATAAAATAAGTAATAAAATAAATTCAATATGCAAAATTAAAATTTTAGTTTTTATTGTCGCAAAAACAATTAGCCTTTCGATTTCCATTATACGTTCTTGATCTTTTTTAGGTCAGCTTCAAAAATTGGTGATGATGATGAAAATGTTGAACATAAAATCGCGCGTTTTGAGGTTGATTCTTCGTCGTTTGGAGTATTAAGAAAAGCATCTGAAATTTTTTTGTAAAAAAAATTACACAAATTCAATTTATATTTAACGTTATATTTAGTATACAATACATTGATAGTTTTATTGACCTCATTTAGAAGTGACCCAATTACTTCATCTTGAAAAATCTCTTTATTCTTTTCTTGATCATTTTCCATTTCCTGAAAATGCTTAAATTTGATTTCGATTTCGATTTTGATTTCTTCGATTTCTTTTTCGACATTTTTGTTTTTATGTTCTTTTTCTAATTGGTTGTTTGCTAGTACGTTATTGTTTAGTTATAAATTGTTAAATGAATCTGTTTAAATCAATCGTTTCATTTGATTCCACCAGAAAGAAAGAAACTAAAAACAAATCGACTAGAATTATGTTTCCTTTTATACCGAATTTCATGGTCAGAACAAGTAATGATTACATAATAATAATAATTACATCATTATATCATTTGACGTAAATAATTACGTAAATCTTACACAAATACTAATACTAATACTAATATTAAATATTAAATTCATATTTTATCACTATGGGACCTCAGACAATCATATTAAATGGCTAGTGAGTTTCCTTTTTGGGCCTTTTTTTTAAAAAACCCCCAATTTTTATTATGTAAATGATTGAAGATATTTAACAAGATCACTACCCACTTTTTTCAATACTGGTTCAATTATAATTGTCCAAGGTCCTATCACTATTATATGATTTTTAGGCCAATCAAATCAATTTTTACGTGATATATATCTCCGTGACAGTTTTCAACCAATCAAATGTGAGCTAAACGAGAATGTCCATTTGTCTAAACGAGAATTGCTTTTACTGATAATGATATACAACATCCTCAACCTCAACAACAAAAATAAAGTTTTCATACAGTTCAAAAAATAGCCTCTACTAGTAATGACGAACAGCATTTATCCACTTTAAAGGGCAACTTCTACTAATTTCAAAATATTCCAATTCGCTTTCATCAAAACTTTCATCAAATTCCCCTGAACCAGTCACTTCTTGAAATAGATTAGAAATAATGCCTCTTCAATTCTTTCACGAGCTGACATTTTAATAATAATTATGCGCAAATTTAAAACATATCTTTTTTAAAAAAAACACATATTGGCCGATTGGAAAAATTGGACCTGATCCGCGTACCTATATTTTTGTTATGTGTGACATAAACCATACGATCCAGTGACTTAGCATAATTAAAAATCTATTTTTGTATATTTATTTGTTGATCAAGCTTATTCAAAACAACAGAGATGATCAACAATTTATATGTGAAGAGTATTGTAAAAATCGAAAAAGTACCCACTTAGAAAAATGGTATACCACCACTTATTTACACCACCTCAAATTTTGTATGATGATACTAATAATATAGTTCTTTTCTGAGCAGAAAATAGTTTTTCCTGAGCGGAATTTAGTTTGGACTTTTAATAGTTGAAAAGATTGCTTTAAATTTTGCTCAAAATGATGCAAATGATCGACAGTTTAACATGAAAACATAAACTAAAAATTTTATTACTTTTTTACAATATTTTTTTTTTTCAAAAAAATAAATAAAATAATCTTTTAACTGAATTTTCTTATTCTTTATTATTGAAATGACCAAAGGTATAGGTAAAAAAAATACTGGCCCTTGTGTAGTATGTGGTCAAAATGATCCTAAAATTGAATATAGAAGACTTACTACTAATTCAATAAAAGCAACATGTAATAGCCCAGTAATTCAGAATATAAATATAAAATTACAGATTAATGACCAATTATGCAAAAAACATTATAATGATTTAGTTACTTATAGTCGTGGTAAGCCTCAATTATCAGTAAAACAAAAGGACAATGATAGATCTTTTCACCATACTGGAAGAAATCCAAAAAAAGTTTGTTTAACACAAGAAGTCTATCAGGAACTTTATAACAAAGCTATGTCTGTTGAACAATTAGAAAAAAAAATAAACAAATTAGAAGCTGATCTAGATAAATATATGGTTGAGCCAAATGAAAAAGGTAATAATTATAAAATTTAAAAATATATGGTGGTTATTTTTATACTTCATAATTGCATCCAATAAATATATTTGGTTTTTGAATGTATCATAAATTTAATAGAATCTAGTCAATTTTTTCAATTTTTTGGTAACCAAATTGCACTCATGAATGATGTGCTTTTTAAGTACCAAAAAGATGGTAACAAACCGATTTTTGAGGCCAAACAATTTATAGAGTTAATTGAAAGAGATGAGCCAAAACTCAAGGGGTTTTTTGATATGTTATATGAAGCTATGAATCCTGATAGAAAAAATAAAGAAACTAAAAAAAGCTAAAACAAAAAGTAATGTTGCTTTGCTACCAGATGGTTGCACTTAGAAATAAACAATTTAGCAGTATTAAAAATGCAGTTGGTTTACATATGTCAGGAGCTGGCACATCTTCTAAAGGTATAAACACACTGGCTAATATGGGGATTAGTTCTACTTATCAAACAGTATATAATAAATTAGAACAAATAGTAAAGGAACATAAATTGACTGTCCAGAGTTATATTAAGAAATTTTTCAGAATCTATTAATTGTCAACATTGATGACTATCATAATTTACACAGTACAAGAGTGCCAAGTGTAACTTCTATATCACAAATTGCTCATATGGCAACAATTTTATTTAACAATAAAAATGTAGCTCCTATTCCATATTATTCAAATAATAATCATCCAATTCATAATCATAATGGTGTTGATGCTTTAATTCTTAAAAATGCTCTTTGGGAAAAATATATGATTTCATTTGTTAATAGTTACAATAGTGAAAAAATTAATTGGCAATTTATTCAAAGTATTATAAACATGCCTATGAGCTTATAGAATCTTTGACTGTGCATTCATATGATCCAGATGTTTATGAAAAATACAGAAGAAAATTCACCATGACAAAACTAGTTGACCTCATTGAATTGAATTTAAAAAATACCAATGATTATCTGCAAGCAATAAAAACATTTATTGGGTTACCTGAAATACAAGTATACTTGTATAATAATGTGATATTTATTCCAGCTGATTTTCCTGGCCAACTATATATTTGTCGAGCTATTGTTAAAAAACTAAAAAATGAAAATGAAACAAGCATTCCAGAAAAAATTACTCATTTGTTTCCTTTCCTTGGTCCACTACATCTTGCTCTAAATACAAAAGAATCTGTTTTTTTGACCTTCTGGCCATTTTTTGATCAATTATATAGAAGTATTTTTAACAAGAAACATAAATTAGCTGCAAAGCCAAAACCTTGGAGAATAGATACATTGATGTATCTTGCTCATGCAGGCTGGGAATTAGTTAGAAGATTTGTGGTTGAAAAATTCAAATTCTCAAAAACTCCACAATATGTAACATTTTTTGATCTATTAGATAATTTGGTGCCTGCAACTTTGGATATATATAATATCCTTTTTCGACAGAATCACTTCCAAGAGTATGTCAGCACAGTATTTCGCTTGTGGACTGTAATGAAACGTTTCCACTGTCATAATTATGATAAAATTACACTGGCCTTTTTATCAGATATTCATTATTGGATGCAGATAGAACATCCTGTAATTGACACACTCAAGAACAACCTAAATATATTTGATGAATACCCAGTGGAAAATTTCCACAGCCTATTGAGAAGGCAGACTACTGCAAAGGTATCTACTGCAAAATCATTGAGACGTGATGCACTTTTTATAGACCATTTTCATCATGAGAATTCTCTTGGAGCTGCCTTCTCACCAAAGCAAAATTATCCATACAGTAAAAAGGATTTAGATTTTTTGGTTAAGAAAACTGCCTTGTTCTTGTTAGACTTTTTTGATGAAGTTTGGAAAACAATGGATTAGTTGAGGAAAGAATGGAAGGAAAAAGAATAAAAAAGCCCTATTACTATTTTCAAAATCTTAAATCAGGATTTCCTATTGGAGCCTTACCACTTGGTTTTCATACACCAGTGCCACCAAGTCAAGAGAATTTTTGTGATAGAATTGAATGTACTAATAGGTCAATAGAAAGTAGTCATGTGTTAGTCTGTGGTCATGCCTATCATGAAAGTTGCTTCGAGATAATTAACAGAAGGTGCCATTATTGTTTCATGTATTTATCTAAAGCAATTGATGAGTTAACAAGCTCTTACAATCAAAGATTGCACATGGAAGAGGATATAAATAATGAATTATTTTCTGAAAATAATATACAAAACACAAATCCAGACTTTGAAGATGCAGACCATATTATATCTCTACCTGGAATTGATAATCAATTGCAAAAAAGGATATTAGGTATATATATTTCAAAAATTTATAATTATATGTAATAAAATTGATCTAATTTATTATTTATACACCTACTAAAAGCCTTTGCAGAGAATAAGCAAATATTTTATGACCTCACAAACATTCACAGACTTCCAATTCATAATATAGTTCAACTTTAATTTAATTTGATTCAAAAAAATAATTAATAAATTAATAAATTAATAAATTAATGAATTAATAAATTAATAAATAAATAAATTAATAAATTAATGAATTAATAAATTTATAAATAACAAAATTTTAAAAATATTTGGCTAATTTTTATTGGATTATCAATTACGTGAAACAAAAATATTGATCAACCAATCACAAGATTTTTAACTATGCTATTTGTGTATGTATCCATATATGTGCATCTTATATCTATATAATTGTAGTAATAATAAAATGATTTTGGTATAGAACTAGCAATTTATCATAAAATATCAATATTAATATTCGAAATATTTCATTCATGCTGTCTTGACATCTTGCAACTATAATAATAATAATATTATTATTAACAATTATGAAAAGCAAAATACCAATCATTCGTTTACTATCTTGATGAGGATATTATATAGTTACCCAGCAAGATCTGCTCCACATATTGATTCCAATAAAAACATTTATAAACTAAAAGACACCACATTATATCAATACAAATAAAAAATGTACCTCTGGTTAAGTTATTAAAACGTCTTCAGAACCAAACCATATCATACCAAACAACAACACTCACATTTTGTCATCTTTGAAAAATAAATTGCATTTCCAAGAAAAGGATCAATCCGCGTCAAAAAAAAACACCAAGTGTCAATAATAAAATAAAAAACGTAAAGAAAAAGCCAAAAGAAGTAAAGAAAAACAAAGTTTTTGAAAATGAGCGAGTGTTTGTCATAAGAATGGTGGTGATTATTGCCACTTGTTGTCATCCTAGTTTATTTAAAGGAATGATTGTGAAAAATGGTAACCATATTATTATGGTTGGCTCGGTCTAAAGACCTCCTATTGCTGCGCCACGCTCTCAAATTTCAAAAATGCAATAAAATTTTTTAAGAAAGGGTTGCACGTGATTTTGGTTAAAAAACTATTTTCCTTAGCATGGTGGAAGTTTGATTTTATTGGATATAAGATGTGACAAAATAAAATTTAGGTTTTTACCAAAATTAGAAAATTTTAGGGAAAATCAAGATTTATATGGAATGTGTAACGTTGATCGCAGCGAA